CTCGAGCATTAATGCATATAGGCAAAGGCCACCAGCAGATTATTCTAGAGATCCTGATTCTGGCAAGAGGAGTCTGGCAAGTTACCAGAGTTATAGTCCTACTAGAGGTGAGCATGATGATTATTGTTTTCCCAAATCAAGGGGCATGCCAGTTGATGATCGCGGATATCCATCTGATGACTTACATAAAATGATGCCTCCACGACCTCAACTTGACTATGATCATACTCGAATGGTTTATGAGCATCAAAATTTGTCAAGACCTGGTAGTATGAACCCTGTTATGGATAGAATGGATGATACTGAGGGATTTTCTGGAAATTCAAGAAAGGGCATTGTGCTAAATAATCCTACTTTGCAAAGGCAATCTTTAATAGACTACCCTGATTCAAGAAGAGTATCAGAGACATCAAAGCACGGTGCGGAATATTCAGGTTCAGGACGCACACATGTCAATTTAGGAAGGAGAAATCCACAAGATTATGAACTATCCCATTTCGGGGCATCCCAAGATTTTCAGGTCGCACATCCAAAAGAAGATTATGGTTTTGAAAGAGATGTGAATATGAAGTATCAGGACAGGCTGTCTCCTGTATCAAAATATGAGTCAGAAATGCATGGACATCCTGCTGGAATGCAGATTATGAGGGAGGAGCTTGGAATATATGAACCATCAGATAGGATGCTCAAAAGAAACTATGCTACTGAAGAACATATGAGTACACATAATCCTAGAACTGTTATGTCTAGTAAGTGGGCATCTAGAGAATTCCAAGATTTATATGATAGTGGTGAAGAGTGGAATGATGGAGATGCAGGCAGTTTCTGTACATCTGCATCAGCTGGATTTGATCATGATAGATACAGTAAGGCTAAGAGGGTATTTGTTGGGCGCCGTCATGATGAATATGAATATGATGATTGGTTGCCATCTCAACACTCTTTTGAAAATGCGCAAAGGCATTCAGTCAGATTCTATAAACAAGGTGATCGATATATAAAGGGTCATCGAAAATCTGGTCCATTAAGTAGGCATAAGCCGCACCACACTGATATAAAAAGTGGTGTTCACAAACAGCACCAAGTTTGGAAAAGACATGATAGTTATTTAGAAGATGTCCATGCAAGTGATGGTACTGATGTTGATCTATCAGAAAATGGGCTGAGCTCTGCAGGTCCTGAGCCATCCGAGGACTCTGAGGAGTTTATGCAAATGGTAAATGAAGCCTTTTTAACATTTTCTAAAAAGCTAAATATGCACTCGGCTGTTCGGAGAAGATACAAGGAACAAGGAAAGGCTGGTACTTTGTTCTGCATCGTATGCGGCCGAAGGTTTGTTTTCTTTTCTGTCATGTTCTTTCTAAGTGGGACTCCAGTTTTCATATTTTCATTCAGGAGGTTTTTAGCATTACTCATATTGATGCAGTCAACTCCTGCAGTTACTTTAAGCTTTTGTTACTTAGGGTTCTTTAGTATTACTCAAATCACTTTGGTATGACCTTAAATTTGTGATAGTTATGTGGTCTTTTGATTCTTTCCTTGTTCGTTGGGTGAACATCTACTAATATGAAATGGTGTTTACGGAGTTGTTCATTACCAATCATGGTTGAAATTTCCAAGAAACATGGTTTTTGTAGTGGGAAAGACGGACACCATTTGATGAAACAAGGATCGTCCTAGTCCAGCGGAAACTAATACAGGACCTGTTAGTGTTTTTTAGTTTCTTGTTCACTAGCAAAAGTAAATGTGGATCTTCTGTACATAGTTCCAGGCTTTGGTGCTGCAAAGAGTTTATGCAAATTGGTTTATTGTTTGAGGTGGAGGGATAGGATGTGCGTAGGATGGATTGTAGAACAAGAGTGAAATGAGGTTCTTGATTTGAAATGATACATTGATTCAAATAGGCCTCTCGGAAAGGGAAATCAATTTCTCATTCCGTACTCTGGTACAAACTTAATTGCTGAAGCCATTTTGGTATCCTGTTATTGGCATCCAGGTCGAAATGCCTAGTATTTCATCACTCATACATGTACTTATTATACCTGAGCATTTTAGGAAATATTCTCAGGACGTTGAAGTATCTTTGGAGGACATTCATTTATGAAAGGACATTATTTTTTGTAATGCATGCAAAAAATGTGATCATAAAGCATATCTGTAGCCTATGAAGCAGTGTTAAGCTCCTTAGCTTCTCACTTGGGGTAAATTTATTTTTGAGGCTCTGGAGTCCATCATTGTATTTTGTAGATCCACAGTATGAAGAAACTGGCCAGTTATGTAGAAACTCGCTAGTTGAGTAGAAGTTCCCTTTCACAAGAGCGCATGGAGTGATCTACAAAGTCAGTAACATTGAGATCAATCATTTGGTTTGTTAACAATGCATGGTAATAATATGATTGTTCATGTTGTTATCATGGGAAGACCAGATATTTACTTGGTTGTAAGGTTGAATGTGCGGGCTACTTCCTATATGCTCTGTGGAAGATAATTTTGAGCTTTTAGAAAAGATGATTAGAACCCAAATTAGAAATAAATAATAAAATTTCATAAAACTTCTAAGAGTGAAATTAAGAAAGCATTCGTTGGACAAAGTTGTATCGAGAGTTAGATGCGCATTGGTTTGTTTTGTTACTGCTCCAAGGTTGATGCGTACTTACTTTTATGAGGATATCTACTATGTCAGGGACTTGTGTCTTAAATTGATACTAGTTCGTCCCAAGCCTGATAATGTGGTAGTTTGTTGCTGGTATAAAGCATCACACCTTATGAGTGTGTGTAATACTGGATATAAAGGAACGAAGCTCTGCCTCAAATGAGAGGCTAGATGATATTAATTTGAATCAACCAAGGCTGTAGCAGTTGAGGTCTTCAAATAGCATTTGGTTTTGTTTCGACAAAAAAAAAAAAAAAAGAAAAAAAAAAAGCATTTGGTTTTGTATTCACTGTTTTTTTTTTTTTTAATGAAGTTTGTCTTTAATTTTTGGATTTTTATATAGGATACTGATTAGGGCGTGAAATTTGCATATGATACTACTTAAATGGGATATTGTAGATGTTTCTGCCTTAATATTTTTTTTTCTCTGGTAGAAGTGGTACTCGCAAATACTGTACTTTTTTGATTTTTTATTTATCTATGCTGTGTTGCAGCTTGTCGAAGGAGTTCATGGACACTCAGCGCCTGGTAACACATGCATATATGTCTCACAAAGTTGGGCTGAGGGCACAGCACTTGGGTCTTCTAAAGGCAGTTTGTGTTCTGTTGGGATGGAGTACTGTTGTCCCCCCTGACACGGTCACTTGGGTTCCCCAGGTCCTACCCAAGGCAGAAGCTTTGGCTCAGAAGGAAGATTTGATTCTCTGGCCTCCTGTAATTGTTGTCCACAATATTTCTATGTCTGACAACAATCCTGAATGTTGGAAGGTCGTATCCATGGAGGCGCTCGAGGCTTTTCTAAGAAGTGAGTGACTTTGTTTTTATTATTTTTAGTTATACAATACTTACTGAAGCTATTAAATGCTTGAGCATAAAGTTAGACAAAATATTAAATAAGTAAACTAGAAAAGAATGTAATCACGTCGAATGCAGGCTAAGCGGATATCGAGGCAAGGTACCATTTGGGTTTCTGGATCTTTAAATTATTTGAGTTAGGTGGGCAATTTTTTGTTTTGAAACTTTTGGGTTCGACATGACGTGGCAGGTAACGGTTTAATCAAAGGAAGAATCAAGATTTGCCTGGGCAAGCCTGCTGACCAAAGTGTTTTGGTGGTGAAGTTCTTGGGAACGTTTACTGGGCTTGGGGATGCGGAGAGGATTCAGAAGCATTTTGCAGAGCATAAGCGTGGCAGAGTAGATTTTGAGCGAGCAACATCCTCGAATGGCAAAATTGTGGAAGCAGCAATGCAGGGAGACAACCCGGAGGAGCGATTTCTATATGGGTATATGGGCATCGTAGAGGACTTGGATAAAGTGGATTTCCATACCAGGAGCTGGACTGTGATAAAGAGCAAGAAGGAGATTCAGGACCTGGCCAATGCTCCCGTCAAACCTGATGAGAGGTAGTTCATTGCTGTACACAAATACTGATTTAAGGATCATGCTTTAGGTTTACTCTCGTAGAACATAAAGAGAACCGAAAAGAAAATATATCGTGTAAAGAACTCGAAGTCACCTATAGCTTGTGTTATTAGTGCAATACTGTATTCTGAACTCCTGGAATGCCGAATAGTTTGCTTGTAATTTATAGGCCTGCTGCTTTCATTATGTAAACATACTAATGTACCGTTTGTGTCAATTTCGTAGTCATGTTTGTGAGGCGATTTCAAAGACATTAATCCAACTCACAATGAGTGTCACCATGTGAACTTTTTGATGATCCGAGAAGATCGACATTTTGTTAAATTTAAATTCTCGGTGTTTGATTTGTTTTGGAAGTAGATTATGTGGTTATGTTTGGAACAGATGGCGATCTCCGCACTTGACATTCCCATCTTTGTTTTTAGGGTTTTGGGGTAAGAGTTGAAGGTTTAGGGTTCTGGAGTTGATGGTTCTGTGTTAGGGCTTGCAGAAACTGCGATTGTGCAAAATATGAGTGCCAAAATCTAATAAGGCGCCCAGATATTTAATATAAGTAATTTTTCAGTGTACTCGGAACAAAGCAGTACATCACAAGTCAAAATATAAGGAAAGAAAATTGGGAAATATGCTCCGCTTACATTATACCACCATGTGTTCCCAGTACAAGTAAGTATTAAATATGAAGCTGTGAAATGTGTAGAAAACTTTGATCTATTTGCTCATCTGGTAAGTAAATCTGCACTGACATATGAGCTTCTCCTGGAATTTCAAGTAACGGACTTCTGTCTCCCACTTGGAATGGCACTAGTCCGTAGATTTTCCAAGCCACCGGCGATCCCCAGTAGTACCATCTCTGCCGTATCGGAATTAGCTGCAAAACGAGCATATCATAATAACTGAACGGATTCGAATCGACGGAACTTTACTAGCGAGTAATTCTGTCAGATGCTAGTGCCGAGTCCCAAGTCACACAAAAGTGATTAGCATTCGTGTCGTGCTGTAGAATTTGTAATGAGAAAATCTTTAACATATTACCGGCTTGAGCTGCGTTGGATGCATACCATCCTGGGGGGAGGAAACCGGAGAAGAGATCCCAGAAGCTCAGGGAAAAAGGACATCACAATTGCCGCAATTTGGTGGCCTGGCGTGAGAGCTACAAGCATCAAGCCGTACAATGTGAAGCAGATAAGGGACGTCAATTTAAAGTAGTAGAACCAGAAAAACTTGTCAGCGCGCCAAGTGAACCCGATCATTGAAAAGAGGATGAGACCATACGCCGGAGTTTGGACTGCGACGTAAACTGTCTCAATCGCCACCTGCAGGGCGTAAGAGTTTTACTATGTATCTCTCCGGCAGATGAACTTCGCGTTGATGAATACCAAGGTTTCGGCTTCTTTTACCTGAGCAAAAGCATAAGGCAGCGGAGAGTACGTCCCCGCTGCTCTTTTGCGGTAAAATGCTGTTCTTTCAACTTTGCACTGAGCAGGGCCGTATCGAATATTTTGGAGCCCTTGTGCGAATTTAATAAAAAGGTCTTCCTTATTAAAAAAATAATAATTTTTTTGGACAATATATTCAAACTTAGTAGGTCTGTTGTGCAACAAATACGAAAGCAAGGTCTATTGTGCTTGATTCGTGTTATGTATTACGTTTGATCTCCTTTGTTTCAGAAAATTAGTCCGAAAATAATACCAACTACGGTCAGAAAGAGCCAAATGCCGTTGCATGTATGATTACTTCAGTACGACAATTAATGAGAGTTACTTGCTTGACATTTAAGATTCCATGCAAATACACATATTTGATCATATTTAATGAACTGAATCTCTATTTAACATCTACACACTCGTTTTGTGGATCCTCGCTAATGAATTTAAGATTGGCCATGCACCCCCTTATCAGACAATACAAATATAGTATACAATCACATAAGAAAAAGAGTCTCTCTAACTTATCTCTTAAGCTTCGACCAAAAAATAAATAAATAATTCTTATCTCTTAAGCTATTTCCTCCAAATGTACAGATCATTAATACAATCTTAATAGAGTTATCCACGAACTCACCAAGGAGATTTTTTTAATTAATTTATGTATGATGATCTTGCCGGGTAATTAGCTTATGTGACTTGTGGCAAAAGCGTCCTATACTGGTTTAAGAATTCCAAATCAACTCATGTCCTGATACATAGAACCTTGAAACCTGGCAATTTCTCGTATTACAAAGTCAGCTAGGTTTTCTTCCAAAGTACTGGTTTTCAAAGATATTTATATACAATAAAATGATGTTTTATTCTAAAGTATTGGGTTTGAAGTGCATTTATCTAAAATGTAATGTTATCGAAAGCACTAGTGGAGCTAGCTACCGTAGGCTATGGCCGAGCTTGCAACCTTTTTGTCGTCAAACACAACCACAATTGTTATTGGTGCTTAAAAAAATCTAATTGGGCACTTCTAATTTTTTATTATATGTATAAAAAAATACACTCTTATGATAAGTGCATAATTAGATTATTCGAGTGCCAATAATAGTAGCCTAAAAAAAGTTTTAACAAAGAAGGTTAAAATTGAGGGCCCATAGAACTCCAGGCCTTGTGAACATACCTTGTCTCGTAATTTTATTTATTTTTTGAGCAAAAGACATATACACACTTGACCTATAAAAAAACCATTAGATCATAATACTAAATGACAGTACTCCCATAATTTTAAAGTTCAAAAGTTCTTTTTTAAAGTCAAGTACATTCCAAACCTTCACAGGTGATTCCAAATTTGTTAAAACATTTTAAGATATTCCAAATAGCTACCTAACGTTTTCAAAAAAAAACACTCGCTAGGTCAGACATTAAGTCATGACATCACTAACGTAACTGATGGTGTCATTAATGTTAAGTGATGGTATAAACAAATAGTGAAACTAATTTTTTGAATCCATAAATTAACCCTTTTTAGTCAAACAAAATGCCAACAATTTGGGATCATAGAGCTCCATAAATAACGTAAGAAAAAAAAGCCCGCTTCAGTCTGTCAAGTTCATCATCAAAATGTCAGTAAAATTTGATCATGTAAAAGTAGCAAAATCTTATAGAGCACCCAAAACAAGGTCAAATTTTGCTATATTTTCACTTTTTTTTTTTTTTTTATACACCCCCAAGAAAATCGACTATTTCGACTCGTACACTATCTGATAATTCGACGACGTGAGGTTCTAACAATACAAATGTACATCAAATTAAAACCTGTACAAAATTATAGCACTCAATCGATCCATGACCTGTCTTCCAAAGGCTTCAACAACAGCCATGCGGGGGGGCACCAACGGCTACAAAATCCTTCCTGTAACTAGAAAACTGTTATTTCCGACTCTCATCAGGATTCAGAAACCACCTAAATTGGTCAATCAAGTACATAATCAGCAGCGGCACCCGGTGATCCGAGAACTAGGGCTGCTTCAGCGATTCTAAACGCCATCGTCGCTTTATAAGTTACCAAATCTGCATTCTGCATGAGTAACTGAGCACGTTGTCGTTTGCGGATAGCTAATTCCACAGACCTCTCCGCCGCAGCTTTCGCTTCTTCAACTTTATACACAGCATTCTGCTCTTGCATCGCATCTTGTTCCGCAGCCATAGCTGTATATCAATACAAGCTCAGATATACAGTTCTCATATAATAAAAAGCCAAGCTGAGAAATCAGATCTTTTACACAAACAAAACAGATACATTTAAACTGGGGTAATAAAAATCCATAAATTGCTCACTCCACCCACTTCTTTTTCAAACCCCTATTCGAAATACCTTTGCCCAAACCCGAAGTCTAGGTTTTATTTTCCTTCAGGGGGTGTAGCTTATGTTATTTTATTTTATGCTTTCAAAAGTTTGTCCTTCTATGTAAGCTCATAGGAAGAAAAAATTGAAACTAAAAAAAAGGGGCAGGATTAGCATTATGATGGATTCTATGAGCGACACTCGACAAAAATTGATGCGGGTACTTATAAAAACTTCAATTGGTTTCAGAAGTTTGAGGCCTCACATGATATCAAGTGTTTGTTGCAGGCACTGGGATGCTGATGAATTAATTAAAATTCAAGTGCCAATGCCATGTAGGCTACCCTGTAAATTTTATATTAAAAAGGATAGTAAAACTCACTGTACAACTAGGATTGTGCAATAAGAGATTTAAATTACCTTGCAAGAAACTTGGTTGTTTTCCTCTACCAACTTGACTCGGCTGTCGCTTGAATGATCTTCTCCTGCGCATAATAGGCTTTGGGTCTAGCAGAGATCTCTTCGACTGATACGCCTGTTAAAAAAAAAAAGGTTCAGTAATGCGAACAAACAACCTAGTTATAAGAACTTAAAAATGCAGATCAGATTTACTCGAGAACTACTCTAGCAAAAGAAAATGAAGCATAATGTGGCATGTACCTGGAACACCCTAAGCAGTGATGATACTTGCTTCTGCTTCCGTTTATTCATCCAATAACCATATACAGCCTCTATTACTTCCCTCCTTCCCATCTCCGGACAAAGATTTGCAGCTGCATTGTTGTCAGAAAAATCATATGGTCTATAATAAAATGCCTTCTCGATTGCATCGACAATTAATTCAAAGTTATCCTCGGAAACATGGTCATCAAGTTCATCCTCAGCCAAAAAGTCACTGTTGAACTTCTTCAGCCACTCCTCATCATCAGAGTCCATGTCATAATTTGCATTTCTCTTTTTCATGGCTCTAGACAACTCATCATCATTCAGAGATATGTATGAATCGGGCCTGTGGAAAGGAGCATGGTGACCATTTGCATATCCTGGGACTTCATGCACACCGGGCACGGGGATGAACTTGACAGCTGGAGATGGGACAGAACGACCAGAGCACTCCTTGTAAAGGTCCTTGAAAATACACCAATCAGATCGATTGGGAAATTCTAGCTTCCAACTATTTTCCCCATTATTATCCGCAGACCACATTATAAAATTCGTAAGACGGTTTTTAGAGAAGGGCCTCATTACTTTCTCTGCCTTGTGGGTGTAACGGGTTAATCCATCTTTCTTGATCACAAGAAGCCGCTCTCCAGATGAAGAGGTTTCTAACATGACAGTTGCTCCATCTTCCCTGTAACATTTGCCCGCTTCAGCGATCAATATATTTGCCGAGCAACATGTAGAATCTAAATCCCGTGCTGATCTCTCCATGGTTGAACCGTCTTCTATCAGGTTACCTACAGGGGAAGTTGGAATTGACTTCCTCCGCTTGTTATTAGAGGCTACAGAAGAAAAGGGGTGGCCATTCTTCCTAGAACTGAATAGCTCAGAAACTAAGGCTCCATTGGGCTTCCGTAAGGCAACCGGGGAAGGATTTCTAGATCGCCTTGTCCTCAATGAACTCCGCCTCTTCTGAGTACCACGGGAAGTTAAACTATTCCTATACTGTGAGTTTCTACAAGGTAATTTTGTAACTCTGGCACTAGAATGCGAAACCGGTGTGCTTTCAACACAATCAACTTCTTCATCATAGTCATCATCACTTTCATGCCCATCAATCTGATTGTTTACAGTTAGCTGACATTTATATCTGAGATGCATGGTGATATGCATGTCCATAAAACAAAAAGGAACTGCAGAAAAGTTCACAGAAAACAATGGAATAAACTGTTTGGCCCCAAATAACTTGCAAATTCCAGAGCTCCTACTACAAGATCGAACCTGCAACACATTTTAATAGATCAAACTAATGACCAACCAGATACTACACTATTTTCCCAATCAAATTTATATGTGGTAGAAAACCGCCACTTACCCGCGAGAACTGAATGCCACAGGAGGAAAAAAAGCTACCAATTGGCTCTGATGCAAGGAATTCAGAGAGCTCAGTCAATCCCAGACTAGCCCTCGTCATGCACACAAAAACCGAACACAAAAAACGAGCAGACCAGTATCTCCGACTGCACGAAGACTCAAACGAAACACAAAGCGCTTCGGGGGACACAACACCCACTTCGGGATCCAGCTCCCCGCTCGTCTTCCTCCTCGGCCTCCGAACAAATCTCCGCCCATACATTCTGTCCTTGGAACCACCTTCCTTCTCCACATCCGCAGTGGTGCGCTTCCTCTTTCGGGTGTACACAATCCCATACATCTTCTTCTGTTTAAGCTCATCTGCCAAAAGGTCATTACTTTCAGGCTTCTTAGCCACTGGAACTTTCGAAACGACGGGGGTTTGCTTCGAACTCCGGATGTGGTGGCTCCCGGGCCATCTCTTGGGCTTTAAAGAAACAACAGAATGACTGGCACGGCTTTTCATGACTTTGAACCAGTCCTCATAGCCACGGTGGGCCCTCTCGAGCTTGGACTCGGACGATTCGGGCCAGAGGCGGCGCCCGGACCGCAAAACCCGAGCCCCGTCCACACCGCCCTTGGCCATCCCCATCCCGAAAACCCTCGTTGTCCGCCTCCTCTCCACCGATGGCATTTCCGTGCTCAGATTCCGGAGCAACACCACTCTGGGCGCACTCCTCCTCTTCCTCCTCCTACTCGACTCGCTGAGTCGCCTAGTCGATCTCCGAGTCGACTCAGCCCCAGACTCGGGGAGGGAGTACTCAAGGTTGGGGAAAACGCGGAACCCTATCTACTCGGTCTGACTCGGAACTCGGAACGAGTTGGGTTCATTAATTACAAGAAAAAAAAAGAAATTAACAGATTTTTCTAATTATTCAGAAAAAAATTATCAACAACAAAAAGAAAAGGAAAGTGTTTGGCGGTTGAGAAAATGAATCAGAGAGAGAGAGAGAGAGATTAACAAGTACGATTAACAAGAAGTACACAACATCAACAGAAAAACACAGAGAGAGAGAGAGAGAGAGGGAGAGACTAATTTACAGGAGACGCAAACCAGATCTAAAACTAAAATAGATAAAGTAGAGAGAGAGAGAATGGGTTTGAGAGAGGAGAGAGAGAAAGCGGGAGTGCTGGAGGGGGCGGGCTGGTATCGGCTAGGGTTTATGATAAAAAGCCACAAGCGGAAAGAGGGGGGAAAACCAATCGCCGACTCAAGTTAACCGTTGGATGGAAGATGAACGGTTGGGATTGCGATTTATTTGTTGGTTTTTATAGGGATTCGATGGCTCCAATGAGAAAAGGAAGGAGAGAGAAAGAGGAGAGTGGGTGAGTGAGGAGAGAGGGGGAGGAAGAATACTGAGACCGACGGGAGAGAGGGTTGATATTTTACGTTATGTGGGTGTGTAATTACTGAAATGGGCTTTTGATGTGACGGGGGGATGGGGGGAAATTTTAATGGTTTGTGTCGCGGTGTTTGGCCTTTTTGAAAATATTTTTTAATCATCACGTATTATTATATAAATAATAAGATATGTGTGTTTAAAAATTAATAATTTAAAAAATAAAAATCTTCACTATTCTTATTAAAATACGTATTATATTGTTTAAGTTCCTGTTATAATTAAAAATTTCTCGTCTTTTTGACCCGGCGGGGATTTCGCATATTTGGCGGTAAAAAGCAGCAACTGTTGCCCCCGTGAATCAGGGATTTAAACTTTGTAAATCGTGAAGGGGTAAAATTAGAAAAAAAATAATAATATTAAACATCATTGAATGATAGAAATAAAAAGGTAGATTGTCTGTCCTTCCATTTTCATACTCTCCTCATATTTTTCTGTTTGTGTGGTCACAGTTAAACCACGTCAACATTTTATATTTCTATTACTTTTGGTTTTATTATTTCTATAAAAAATTAATATAAAATGTCATAGCTTAACTATGATCACACATCACAGCAAGGCATGGAAAGAGTATGGAAATAGGAAAGCAGACAATTCACCTCTTAAAAATAAATAACTGAAATTGAAATAAAAGATTTAAATAGTTATGAAAATTAAATTTTGGAACAATGCAGAGCAAGTTAGAATGAGGTAAAAACTTCAAAGAATCATACTTGATCAAATTTTGTTGTTGAGTTGGGTCGATTCCTTATTTAATTACGTTTATTTAATCATCACAATCTAAAATTAGATTGTGTTAAGTTGGGTTGAGTCGAAAGAATTGCCCTTTTTTCTCTACTATGATAAGAGTAATGCTAGGAAAAATAAATTTACAAACTAAATTATATGTCACCAATAGGAATAAGCATGTTTATCAATGTTTAAGTAATAAATTAATCATCAACTTCCATGTTTTTTAGTTTCCACAACTTTTTCTACAAATTTAATCTCTCAAGCATTACCCCTACGATAATAATCATGTTTGTTATTTTCTTTTGATTTATTCACTATGATGGCCAGAATGGAGAGAAAAAAAAAGTGTATGAAATTTGTTGGAAAGATATAAATTAGAATGGTGGATACAGTGACTTGAAATTACTTTAGATTTTGAGGCTGATGGTTTTGGATATGTAAGTTTAGAAGTCCTAAATATTTGATGTGTTTGTTTCGTCTTCCAAGATAACTATCAGACTGCGAAAGTAGGTACAAGTTCTTGAAATAAAACACTCAAAAGCATTGATATTACCTTACCAACTCTTGGGTGGAAATTTTTTTCCAAGAGCCCAGTATTCACGCAATAACTCCACATGTCATAAAATAAGTGAAGAGACTCGCCTCCTCTTGCATTATGACATGTGAAATAGCGGTTGAATACCAGGTACTTAGAAAAATCTCTCCACGAGAGTGCAAAGATGCTACCACATAAACAGGCACCGAGCGAAAAAATAAGTTGATATCACATTGAACACTGAACATGAAATAAGTAGATGAGGACAGTTCGAACATGGCAGGGTTTCAATTACGGGGAAAAGAAACTTTACAAGTATTACCTCCCCAAACTCCCCAAGGAGGAATTCCAGAATTCCTTAACAAAGCAAGACGGAATGTCAAATGAATCCTTGGTACAAAGAAGCAAACGACACGGCGAAGCGAAAAGCGTGGAGGACGCTGCTACGACAGAGGTGCTCAATGACACATTATTTCTTTTCTTCTATATGGAGGCTCATCAATATGATTAAATTATGAATTCTTACATCCCAAACTTTGGGAAAATTGGGGGAAAACTGTACATCATAAATTTCTTTCACCTTTCACCTACCCAGATTATTACACACCTGTATTCTCCAATCTTATTGTCCACATTGCGACAGTAATGCCCCAGTAAAACGAAGCAATCGGCTTTTCCTTCAGGCTACCTGTCACGTACGGGAAAAGAAACACAGCTAGCTCTAAGACAAATAAATTTCTCTGGATGGGAAAACCGGCTTTGGCTTTCCTCTAATGGACTTCTAAGACGTATTACAAAGGGTAGGTCTCGAAAAATAAACCATCTTACACTGTACAAAGGGTTAACTGCAGATGCCAAGCATGGTCAGCTCATTGCTTTATTGGACGTAGCTCCCAGTACCCTAGTGGACCAATGGTTCGTGATTCCGGCATGTCGACTCATTGCTTTATTGAACGAAGTTCCCAGTTACCCTCACCATCAATGAACCGTAATTCCAGGGAATGGAATGGTATTAGAGCAGGACGCTGAGAACACGTGAAAGCAGAAAACAATAAATAAAGTTTGTGACTCAAGACCTACCCTATGGTGCTAAATTTTGAGAACTAACTCACACTAATATCCGGCAGAGAGGCTCCAACAATAAAACCAGATTAATGTCCTAAAAGGTTCATCTCATGTACACCAAAATGCAGAATGACATACAGCTACATATAGTTATAGAAGTACTTACTTGTGAGGAGGTAACAACTGTGATATTCATGTCTTTCGCAAGCCGATAAAGTTGTTCTTCGACATCAACGCTCGTAGCACTGCCAGTTGTTCAAGAAATAGAAAAGGATAACGGAAAAAGAAGAAAATGTAAGAAGAAAAATTGTGTAGAAAAGATATTAGATAATGACAGACATCTCTTTAAAGTGAAAGAAGAGAACAAACAAATGGGGAGTTATGCCACATACTTGGTGCATTCATCAAGGATCGCAAATTTAGGCTTGTGGAAAAATAAGCGTGCCTTCAAAACGTAAGATATCATGTCAGACAACATAGAAATCCTTGAAAGAAAATAAAACAAATTGCTGCTCAAGAAAGAGTTGAGACTCATATTATCATACCATGCCCAATCTCTGCTGTTCCCCAAGAGAGAGTGTGTCCTCCCAATTCAGATTCGCATCCCAACCACCTTCCTCCCTTTCCAAAAGATAACTCAATCGAACATTCTCCAGAATAGTTCTTAAACGCATGTCTAGAATATTGATGTTGTCAGAAATTTCTTCACCTGAATTAGAACAATTAAAATCTTCAAAACCTGGTAGTTGAAAAGTGATTTATTTCCTAGGGTAATAGCTAGCACTTATATCTCATAATCCAAAATGAAACATATGACCTACATTAACCCACATCTATATAAGAGAAGAAATTTCCGAAAGAAATTTACCTTCTTGATACAACTTCAATGCCCTTAACTCAGCCTCCTCACAAGATAGAGGATAGATAATTTGATCCCTGAGTGTTCCCAAACATGTATACGGTCGCTGAGGAACATAAAACACTCCACAACCAGAACCAACATCTTCCTTAACATGTTGTGACGGTTGAGAGATTCTTCCACTCGTGATGGGCCAAAGACCTCTAAGAACTCTAAAGACAGAACTTTTTCCACTCCCATTTGGACCTTTAAGAATCGCATACTTCTCAGTTGTAGATTCCACAGCAAATTTAAGAAATAGTACTATGTGAAAAAAGAAAACAACATTAAACACTAACCAGTAACAAGCAAGCTTTTCCCAGGTACTATATCACATGTTAACTTCCTGGCCAACATTTTCTGTGATGGGGTGATAATATTAACTTCAGAGAAGGTAATGGCATCTTCAGAATGAAAATCTCTCCCCTTAGATGGTGACAGAGTAACAGTTTCGGAAGCCCCTGAATAACCAACAACTATGGATGCATGAATGAAGAAATGTCAGGTAACTCTAAAAATACCTACATTATTTTATTCTAATAGATTTATCTTATACAATAATAAAAGAATATTCACTTGGCAATTTAAAAATACAAGAAGCATATACTAAATAATGAGAAAATCAGAAAACAAGCTTGGACAAAGGTACATATGCACAATTCATCTATGCGGTGGTAAGATCTTTATATTTTTTTTCAAAAATATCATTTAGGTCATTTGTACATATGTTTCAGTCACAGAAGCCACCATCGCCAAAGGCATTAAGTTGTAAATAGCATAATCTTGTTTGATCAGTATACTTTTCTAGTAATGGAAAGTTCTCAGCTCTAATGCACCAACATGATAAGTACTCTCCATCCCTACAAAATGCTGACTATTGACTATCTGTCAATACCCTGTTACGCTTGTTTTTTCTGCAAGACCATCAGTTTACCATATGCTTTGCCCCATAGAAGACAGCAACCATCACGTAACAGGTAACTAATTGGAACGTTAAAACTTAAAATATACACTAAGGCACAAGTAATGGGGGAGTAGCAATAGAACCACGCCTTTTTCTTTTGGGCTGGCACATCGACTTTACCATGCATCAGCCACTATCTGTCGAATTACATTGTGGGCCAAACTATGTAGGTCTAATTCTCATTAGAACCCATAATACCCTTGGGCAAGAACAGGCACAAGAGTAAGTTTCTCTATTACAACCTGGATAATAGGTTCTAAATGGAAACAAACCTCTCACTAAGTGGGACTAAGGATGCCCACATATGAATCTTACCAGACCCCAAACTGTTGGGAGACACAAGCAGATAACCTTTTTTTATCCATGGTATTCACATCTACAAAGAGACGCATGGAATGGATCTTAATTGCTACACTCAAAAGGATGGTTACCATCTGACTATGTAACAAAGTGCTCAAGGAAACCTCTCTCAATGGCTAAAAAATGATATACCATTAGTATAGATCGAATTCATAAATGTGGTTGTCATTGAGTGCGGAAGATGAAAATCAATAGGAAAATGATGCAATCGTGACATGATTGTCAAACATTGAAAACATACCAGATTGTGCAACATCTAGAAGCTCTTCAAGCTCAAAAATTCTGTTGATGCCGCCAGACAGTTCAAGGAACTTCCTATGCAATTCCAGAATGTCGCCGAAAGCTAAAAAGCTTTGAGATAC